ATATATTGTGGTAATAGCTTTTGAAATGCATATTAAAATCGTGCAGCTGCTTTCTTTATTCTGCGAACGACGTTAAAACTGTTTGGATCTCAAAAGAAAATATTCTTGGAAATGCATGGAGTAACTTTTTTATGGTAGACGATTCAATAAAACGCTCTCGCCGCATCGAAGTCGCGAACTTTTATTCTACTTTCAATCTTTATATTGCACGCGGGTGGCTAGCTCAACGTTGCACGAAACAAATAGCAGGCGATCGTCGCGAAAAATCAGGGCTATATATGTATGTCACACGAGATCGCTGATAAGGGAGGAAAAAAGAAAGAAAAAAGGTTTCGTGTTAATCGGTCCCAGCCGAATTAACCCTAGGATCGCCTTGCGAACGGCTTATCGGTGCACCGGCCCTTATCACCGACCAATTATCGCGGCACCGCACGGCTGCGGAAATTGTTGAAAATATATTTTCCACTTTTGCCGCCGCTACAAATTCGAACCCCGGCCTGATATTTTTTTATCTATCTATACCATTTCAATAAATCTCAGTCGATATTTCCATACACGCTGCTCGTTAACGTTTGCATACTGTTTAACGAGGTAATACCGTGTGCTTTTATCGGCGACGAAATATACATTTCATTCACCGTTTAGCAAGTTGAGTTTCTACTCGCTGCTACAGAGATTAAATGAATGGCGCGGATGATCATTCGTGGTCAGTGACTCGGCCGGGAAAGGTTCAGGGTTGAAGTACACCGAGGCGACCTTTCGATGGTCTCTGGTCTCTTATCATCAGGATAAATGTTAACGTGGGATATTCACCCTGGCGCGTTTCGACTTGCAGGATGAAGCTTTCCCCGTAAATATTTGTTTCCACGAATATGAATAATGCAACGGAACGAGAGAAAATTAATGCAAAAAAACGTGAAGGTTGAAATATGTTTGATAACCTTTAGGGCTGGCTTCCTTATCAAGCTGGCTCGCGGCGTGCTGCCTAGAAAGTGGCGGATTTCATTTTCGCTGAGACTGGAGGTCATCACTAATCGATGATGCATGACCGGGATCAATCCTGAAAAACCAAAACCATGAAATGAATAAATAAAAAAATATACTTTGTAATTGAAGTTTAAATTGCATCGTCGCCTATAATTATTGTAATGAAAATTCGTACAATATTTAACAGCGTTTCGTATGATACTTCATATTGATTTAGCCCGTGCACAACGCGAATGGGTTGAGAGATATTCAGTTCCACTTTTATGGAAGATTTCACTGTGCATAAAAAAATTGGTGAAGATGGTTGCTGCGTCGATAGGGGAGTGAACCAAGTAACACAGAGGGAAACGACCGGGGATAAATGCGTGGAAAGGTTAAGGGTTGTAGCACCCATGGTGAACCCGGAGGGTGCACCCACGCGTACTTTCGTTGCGGCGCCCATTCGACCGGGTTCGCATACCGGAAGATTGTTGCACCGCGGCCTTGGCCTTGCGGCGGCGTCGACGTATGCATCTCCCCTCGTATGCAATTGTGTTGCGGTCCGTTTCGCGAATCTAATAATTTATGTAGACAGCCCTCGTAAATCACGATGCGAAAACGCTTTCTGAATTACGCGTTTCTTTTCTCTTTTCACTTCCAAATCCTGCATCGTTAGTTCAATTAATATTTTTCAAATTATCATTTCTTTCATGAAGGATGGATGGATGATCCTTCAGTTTAATGTACAGCGCGTGTCAGTAAGAAATATGATTTTAAATTATTCATTAGTCATTGATTTCGTTATAAACTCTCAGACAGAAACATATGTTAGTTCGTCAGAAACAAGAATACATTTGTTTAATGATATCCATTCAAAATCATAGACTGCATCTTCCAGTAAAATCATTAAATAATTTCTTATTGATTCCTGTACATAATCCCGTTTTATCAGCTTACACAATGCCAGGATTCATTGTTTCATTTAAACGTTTTATTACACCGAGGAAAGAACTGGGATTCGAATCTCCAAGTAAATTCGAAATTCGAAGGTAGTCCTTTTGGCAAGGAATATCTGAACGTGATCCATCAGATTTGGAAAGTATAGACTGGGATCGGCGTTAGTGAACGAGAGCACGCAATACGTATACGTGAGCCTCCGTTTCGTCAAACGCGACAAACCTTCGTAATTACGTGGATTAGATCTCTCTGCGGCGCAGAGCGAATTATTTTTAGTGTGTGATTTATTAATAGAAACTTTCGTGAGCTTACGCTGTTTCGTGGTTATTTCGATGAAAGAGATGGTAGATTACCGTGAGACTTACGTCGTGTAAGACATTCTAAGCGTTACCTCGAGGTTGACCAAATGGGATTGCATTGTAGCATGTATCGAATATTCGATAAATTATGAATTGATGTACAAGTCACATACGTAGTGAGGGATTTCTATTGGCATTGTTAAAGGAAAAATAAATTTCGATACGTGGTCACAGTGGCTTTACGTGAAACGAGGCAAAAGGCCTTCCACATTGTTACAGTAAAGAGGCCGGCAGCCTTGGACGGAATTCATGAAGCTCGTTAACAGACCAGCACGTGAGAGATGTTTCTAAAGTGAAACTGAAAATACTACTTGTTGTACCGAAAGCAATCGGATTCTATTGAATAGAAACACGCGTCAGGATATACTCGATTGAAGAGAAATGCAATTTGATAGAAATATAGAAATGATGCCAACCGAGATTCCACGTAAAAGATTGCATATTTTTTCACTGTCTCCAAAGCTCGTGCTTCGAGACCATTAGGAGAGTCCTTCTTGCCTAGATCGTCTTGTCATAAGTATTTATTAGATCTCGCAACGGCAATTTGCACTTGGACTGTTGAGAGGTAATTTAAAAAAAAGAGAAAAAAAAAGGCAATGAGTCGGAGGAGGTGGAAAACATCGACGACCTCGGCAAGGGTTAAGCTTACGTCACGGAGGGTGCACTACCGGAAGGGTTGGCGAATGAGAGGGTCGTTTGACCTTCACCCTGTGTTAATCTATGCTACCATTATCATACCAATCCCATCAAAGCTGGCATTGCATTGCAACTGCACGACGATAAACGCGAGTCCAGTTATTGGTCGATCGAGCTACCTCTCGATGAATCATTTTTCTCGAAATCCGATGGTCAACCGACGTGCGTCGACAGGAGGTATTGTCGGACTTCGCGAGACGAGTAAATGAATATTTGTTGGAAAAGAAAAATATAAAATACTTCGGTAATAGACGTCGATAAATTAGATGTTAAGTATAGCAAGCGATGACAAGGTCATCGAATCTCTGGCATATTGCCGGGCAGGAGTGTGCGTGCCTCGAATTCATAAGTCGGTTTATTAGACTATTAGCCTCGTTAACGGTTTTTTCCTCTCTCCGGTTCACTTTGAATATTGACCCTATTTAACCAATCACCGTAATTGACCCGACGCGATGCCACTCTTCGCGTAGGAACCGGAACCCCTTTTTCATTTTGGGTCCCTACGATCCATCGGAGGCGTGGACTTTCAACCTGATTTACTAACGAATCCTCGTTACCGGGTGTCTATCAAACTTTCATTTACCGAGGTTCCCTCCTGTCCTTCACGATTTATCATCTATTGTTACGAGATCACGGAATACGAGCGTAAGTTATAACTATATGAAACCTAGTTAGCTAAAGCACGTGTACACGTGAGATGACAATCAAAAATGATACAGCTATCGCGTATCGTTTAACTCAGTCGTAAAGCAGCCTTTATGCTAAGCGAGAAATAAAAATCCTAAGGGGAAAATTAAAAGCAACGACGTGGCCTCCTCACATGCTTTTTGAATAATGCAAATAAATCGAGGCCACTGCGGGTCGTAACCCTGCAAAACGAAATAATAACAGAAGGATTGATAAAAAGAAATGTATCGTTCGAGTTTAATTGTAATTCCTTTCGGCGAGATGTGCACCTCGAATACAGGGGTGGCTGTTTGGCCTTGAGACACGATGGCCCACTCGAACGTACGAGGGAGAGGGTAGGGGATGTTGCAGCCAGGGGGCTGGTTCTCCAACCCGATGGGCTCAGCACAGCACCCCGCCTCCAGTTGTCCATCGAGCACAGCCGGGGTTGCACCTAGTGGCCCCAGCCCTCTCGCGATCCTCTCTCGCTCCGAGCACCACATTTCACACTCGGTACTGATCGCGGTATCGATACCCTATCGTGATCGGAACGCGCCGCCGCTTCAAGGTCGTATCGACAACCGCGATCTACCGTTTCCGCTGCCTACTTTTTTTTACAAACCGCGTCGTCTCTCCCACAGTCATCCCACCCAGTCTTCCAACCGAGATCCACAATTCGTGCCTTGAACAAGGCGGATCGAGGATAATTAATAAATGGTGCGATGATATTTTGAATATTTCATAAAAATAAATCGTGCATGTTGAAGTGATCGTTGTACGAAATAGTGACCGAGAGAAATGTGAATAAAGAAAGGATACGGGATCCGTGATTCGGTGAAGAACGTTCCGACAACGATTCGAGTGAATATCGCCGCGCGGAAATACAGTGATATAGGTCCACCATTGAGTCGGCAAGTTCCTCGTCCCGTTCGGACCTGGAGCCGGACTTTGGTGCCGGCGGCGAGAAAGCGGACTCCTACAGCGACTCCGAGTTCGAGTCCTGCAGCCCCAAATCCTGGGAGGGCTGCGACAGTTTCGTCGTGTTGATGAGCGATTCCTTTGAAGTTATATCGCTGCCGGCCGACATGCTGCAGGTCTCCGAACCTTTCTATTCAATCATTTTCTAAATAACGTTTATTATCATGTATCAGTTCAAACGTGAATTACATGATGTTTTAATTGGTGAAGGAGTTAGGATGAAGTGCTTTTCTAAAATTATAAATCCTCCATTTAGTAGCTTTCGATCGACAGAGATCATTCGAAGGAAACTTGAAATATATTTCTTATATGTTTTAACTGTTAGAGTGGAACGATGATAATTAGAATAAAAATAATTATTGCAACGTAAAATAATAGCCGGCCAGCTACGGGAAGAAAAGCAACACCTGGTACACGAGTCCAAGCGGCGGAGGCAGCAGAGGTGGAGCAGGTGTCGGAGGTGGTGTCGGAGGATGGCAAAGTAGACCACCGGCAGTGGCGAGCCTCAGCAGGAAAGCTTCCATCACCGACGAAGCACCACCTCCTGGCGGTGGAAAGCCTTCCTCAGGACGCGTCATTAGAATCGTTAACAACCACGATCACACAGTGCAGGTGATTAAACGATAAGCGTCATTAAATATAAGTTCATTTTTGCCTGAATACAAATTTTATCTCACCCATTATTTCAATATAAAACAGTCAATGAACTTTATGGGGTATATGCGTTCTCGAATTGAATTCCAGTGTCGAGTTCTGTTGAATCTTCGCACTTCCCAACCGTTCGAGGAGGTGCTGGAGGACCTTGGACAGGTACTAAAGATGAATGGGGCCAAGAGGATGTTCACAGTTTCGGGTCAAGAGGTAAACGATTGCGTAACGAGTAAAAATGTAAAAGAATCTATGCGATCGTACGATGTGTGTGATCGATTCGTGTACAGCCGAAACGTGGGCGACTCGAAAGTTTATCAGCGATTTATGCAAATCTGAGAGATTGGCTCGGCATCGCACTTATAAAATCTGCTTGAATAATGTTTGTCCATAAATATGCATGGGGCGGTGGGGGCGCCGAAACGAAGCGTGACGATATCGGGGTCGACTTCTCCGTTGTAAACGGAATCGGGTCGGCGGTTAACTCTCCCATACGAATTATCCTAAATCATGTTTATTCCATCGTACGCGTACTTAAACGAAGAAATACCTTGAAAATAAAAAAATATAGGTCGGCCGAGAACGCGAAAGACCTCGAGCTAAGTCAGCTTAAGTAGTTGTTCGTTGATACGAGAAGATAAAAGATAAACGACATTATTATTATTATTATTATTATTATTATTAACGTTGCGTGTCATCTCGACGATTCAAAGTTTCAACCTTATGATACGTTAGCCGATTACATGGCCCGGCTTGAGTGGATCGGAGGACCGCGGGAAAAAGGTCAGAGATCCATCTTTTCAGGTCACGACCGTATATGAATTTCAAATTGACCAATTTTCCTTACCGAGCATTACACTACCTTATGCATCATCGTGTGTATACGTGTACGATGACGTTCGCGATACGATCCTGACCCGAGGGCTAAATGTCTCTCGCGTTCATTCATTTCGTTGCCACACCCCTCTAACGCTTCTAATTCTTTTCGACAAGATAACAAAAAACCAAGCAGAATTCTCTTTATTGTCAGTTTTTATATTTCTGCATCGTTGAAATTTGTCGATAGGTGAGAAGTTTCTCCCAGCTGAGGAACGAATTCGCGGACGTGGATACGTTTTACCTGGGCACAGGATCTGGCATCGGCATGGCTGGGACCGTGACCGCGTCTCCTGCGAGGAGGTCCAGATCGCGGGGACCACCGACCGTGGTGGAGGATATCGGCCGTCAGAGACGCGCACGCAGCAAAAGCAGACCGCGAGCTCTGTACGCTCCCGATTCAGACGTCGTCCGAGTAAACGGTTCTCCATATCGCTCTTCGTTTATCCATGTACGAGCGCCTCTCACCTAATTGTAAATAACGTTGCCCTATGCTTTATTTTTAAATAGATTACAGCGTGGTCGAGGTGCTGCGAGACGAGCCGGCGAGGGTGACTATCAGAGGATTGAGGAGGTCTTTTTATCCGCCCTCTCATTTGCCACCGGTGGACAATTCGCCGCCGGATAAGAAATTGCAACTTGAATGGGTTTACGGGTATCGGGGCACCGATACCCGTAGAAATCTGTGGGTATTGCCGAGCGGCGAACTTTTGTATTACGTCGCTGCCGTGGCTGTTCTCTTCGACAGAGAGGAAAATGCACAACGGCACTACGTGGGCCACACAGAAGATATCACGTGTATGGAGGTAATCCTCGATCATTTTCTTTCACCTAAAATTATTGGTATTAAATAGAGCCTTTTGTTACATATTAAAGGAAACTTTATTTACTGTTCTAATTAGTGAAAGTAAATTAATCGAAATTAAATTAGTATTAATTATGAATCACAATGAATGCTATCTTACATGTGCTCAGTCTCAGTTTACTTCAGTCTGTACCGGAAGCAGAACGGAAACTTTAATGCTACCGACTATGAGAAACTAAATATAAAAACCGATTTATTCAATTTAAAGCTTCAACAAAAATTAGTAGACAAAGAATATCGAAATGGAGAATGAAAGAGAGTATGAGTGATTCTGTTTGAAATGCAGGTTCATCCGAGTAGGGAGCTCGTGGCTTCTGGGCAAAAAGCCGGTAGACATAGAAAAGCACAACCGCATGTGCGCATCTGGTCGACAGAGACTTTGCTCACCTTATACGTATTCGGAATGACCGAGTTCCAGATGGGCGTCTCCGCGTTAGCGTTTTCGCAATTGGTAAAATACGATGTCACATAATAATATGAATGATAGTTATTAGAATTAGTAGAAAATGAAATGTGTTTTTGCGTAGAACGGGGGCAGTTACGTGTTGGCGGTTGACGCCGGCAGAGAAGCGATACTCTCGGTATGGCAGTGGCAATGGGGCCATTTACTCGGCAAAGTGGCGGTAAGTTCTCCTCCACCTCCTTCGCTCACGCGACAACTTCATAATCATACATCATAACGCACGATTTTCTCAGACCATGCAGGAAGATTTGACCGGCGCGGCTTTCCACCCTCTCGACGATAATTTGTTAATTACGCACGGCCGAGGACACCTGACGTTTTGGAATCGACGAAAGGACGGTTTCTTCGAGAGGACGGATATCATTAAACCTGTAAGCGTAATTTTGTTCGTAGTTAAAAAAACATGCGCGTAAACAAATTCGTTTTAACGTTCAAGCCGTCCCGTACGCATGTGACCAGCATACAGTTCGAACAGGACGGAGACGTCGTTACCGCGGACAGCGACGGTTTCATCACCGTCTACTCCGTCGACGCGGACGGCGCGTACTTCGTACGAATGGAATTCGAAGCGCACAATAAAGGCATAAGCTCGCTGGTTATGCTATCAGAGGGAACGTTGCTCTCCGGTGGCGAGAAAGACCGCAAGATCGCCGCGTGGGATTCCCTTCAGAATTACAAACGTATCACTGACACGAAAGTATGTCATTATTCTGCCTGAAACCGATGCATCCTTCAATGATATGTCGCAATGTTATCCAGTTGCCAGAAGCGGTGGGTGGAGTTCGTAGCATCTATCCTCAGAGACCAGGTCGGAACGACGGGAACATTTATGTAGGAACCACCAGGAATAATATCTTGGAGGGATCTCTTCAGAGAAGATTTAATCAGGTGGTGTTCGGTCATGGGAGGCAATTATGGGGTCTCGCGGTCCATCCTGACGACGAGGTGTTCGCTACAGCTGGCCACGATAAGAATATCGCGCTCTGGAGAAGACACAAGCTTCTGTGGACCACGCAGGTAGTTCTGATTCTAACTTCATAGTATTCCTTCGATAAATATAGAGACAATAAGCGAGATAATTTTCATTTGCCTACTATTATCGAAGGAATGAATACTGCATGTTCAAAGTTTGATGTTCAACTACGATGTGATTTCAGGTTGGCTTCGAGTGCATCTGCATAGCTTTTCACCCGTTTGGAGTAGCCCTCGCCGCTGGTTCCTCGGAAGGCCACCTCCTGGTTCTCGCTGCGGATACGGGAGCGGCTGTGGCGACTCTTCGAGTCTGCGGCTCACCTCTATCATGCATCGGCTACAATCCTAGTAATTCGCACTTTCCCGAATACAAATTTTACAGTTAATATTAACTGTACCATTTTTACAGCGGGAGAAATAGTGGCGATGGGCTCTCAGAATGGTAGCGTGTATCTCTTCAGAGTATCTAGAGACGGATTCTCGTACAAGAAGAGCAATAAGATCCGCGGGACGCAGCCGTTGGTGCAGCTCGATTGGAGTTCCGACAGCAGATTCCTTCAAACGGTCACCCAGGATTACGATCTCGTATTCTGTAATTTCTTTTTACTTCTCTCAACAATCGCTTTTCAAGCGTGGTGTAAGATACAACACATAACATACAATAATTGTTATAGGGGACGTGAAAGCGTTGTCGTCGGAGAAAAGTCCGTTAGTGATGAAGGACGTAAAATGGTACACCCACAACTGCATGGTTGGCTACATGGTATCCGGTAATTACAATAAACTAATATAATCATCATCAATAAGAAGTCTGTCCTCATATCTGCAATCTAATGATTGAGAATTCATTTTTACTGTTCACAGGTATGTGGAATAATCGTTATTATCCGCTGACGACTGTCCTGACTACGTCAAGTAGATCAGCAGCCCACGACATGTTGGTCAGCGGAGATGCCGAAGGTTACCTAAGGCTCTTCCGGTATCCGTGTACCAGTGCGAAAGCCGAATACGTCGAGGAGAAGGTGTACAGCTCGTTGGTAGCGTGCGCCAGATTCCTCTACAACGACCAAAATGTCGTCACCGTCGGTGGAACCGACGCCGCGCTGATGCTTTGGGAACTGGTCGACGAATAAGCAAATGAGCAACCGTTTGCCATCAATTTCGCCTCTGTCTTCTATCAGGTCTGCATAAGATCGCGATGATTCGTCATAAGACTTTTTTAATACCCATCAGCGAGCGCGCGACGAACGATTTATCTTATTGCACTGGGTATGGTTCAATAACGACGCGCCAGCGATTCGTATCGATTGGATCGATACTTATCGTTAACAATTTTTACAAACACTCCCACCCGACGCCGTTTAAACGTGCATACTTTTCGCTTAATGACGAGCCGACTCTCGTCGTTTCGCTGTCCGAAATATATTCTTAAGAACGTCGATGCTCTGCTCGACACTTAGGTGAATCTTGTGGAAGGTATCAAACTTCAAACACAGTTTCAGCGACCAGTAACGATCAAGACGAAGATACAAAACCCGAAGCAAAGCGAACTCTCGAGTAATTGTCGGCTGTTCACTTTACTTTAATTTACTTCGAGTATTGTAATCCGATTACATGTTCCCGACTCGAATCACGTATTTTCGTGTTCGATTCTATCCTCGTTGAAACTCGCGGAAGGAGTAATTTGATAACCGTCAGAGAGGACTGTCTACTGTTTTAGTGAAAGGAAGATATGATCTATGAGAAGACCCACTAACAATAAGCCTCGAAGTTGTACCTTCGGGCACGCAATAACTTTTTAATAACTCTACCGCTCCCTCATAGCATCCGATGAATTTTACCAGTCGATTACCCATGAAACAATCCGTACGCAACGTTTCTAGTAATTTTTACCTCTCGCAACATTTAAACAGAATCTCTCACGCCCCGTTCAAGGATCTATCTTCCCTTCCCTCAATTGTTTTGTCATTGTCGACTTCTTGTACACGTTTTTTGACGATAAACTCGACGAACGATAACGTTATCACGCAGTATACATTATTAATGCCGTAATGGAAACAATACGTAAGCGTATAGGCACACGTTCAATGTGTATCCCAGTAGGATAAATGATATAAAGTGTTGACACGTTCGCGAGCGTGCAAATTTTTCGGGGCGCTGGCGCCCCTGGTAGATTTTAAACGACGAGATAAATAGATGTATTGTATGTAAACGAAATAACCGGGACGAGGAATAATTATTATACGAAAACACGAACACTGACCTTTTTTCAAGCTCTCCGCCGTCTCGTAGGTTTCCGAGAAAATGCTGTTGCAGGACAACGCGCCACTCCGTCGATCCTCCTTCACTTTGTTCACACATATTTCTAAATAGATACAAGATCGATAAAATCATAGAAAAGAGTATACAGAGTTTAAGTGATATGTTATTATCAGAGATGAATAGGGAGACTAACGACACGAGGGCGGTTGAAACCAAGCCAAATTTTGACAACTGCTGACGATCAAATGGGAGTGATAGAATGTGTTAGTAGAAATGTGCCTATAAAAATTTGGCTCGAATTCAATCGCGCTATTTCGCCAATCTCCGTACTCGTTTGTGTTATTATTAAAAGAAGTATATATTATATATATATTTAGTAGTAGATGCAAACGGTAACACGAGAAACATGTTAACAAGCTACGTTCGGGATCGTCACTGCCATCGCATCGATTTCGAAATTTTTTCGCGACCTGTGGGTGCTTGAAAATAGTGTATTTTCTCTGCGGGTGAGCGTCGCGTGGATAGAAGCTATTTCAAGGTGCGTATCGCGGCAGACCTTTGTCTGAAATTGCAGACGTTTCAACTGTTCGGACTCTACGGCTACATGCGACGATTTTATATTTTATACCAATGAAAATTGTGCATCGAAATTCAACTACACGTAAACAATGTTTGGGATATCTTAAAATACTTGTATGTACATAAAGAAACGTAACGCAATCGCAGGCAGGACTGAATTTTGGTTTTCGATGCGTTCCGAAATAAAAAAAAAAAAAAAAACGAGAATGATACAAACGATCCTCCGAATACTGTAGCGTAAAAACGTAAACTTGTAGAAGCTATCTTAATACGCAATAAATTCTGCACGTTAGATAAAACTACGATTACGTCATTGCTAGAATTAGGAATAACTGAAGACACGATCAGTGACTCAAAGCAGTTCTTTATTATTAATTTCATCTCTTACACTATAAGTGTTCCTGGTAAGCGTCTAAGTGGTTCATTTTTCATTTTATCCTCTCAAACATAACATGGAAAAGTGTCCTGCGCCCGGAATCGATTTGTGCTCGTTTATCCTCGCATCATTCTCGGCCGTTCGCACTGTCTTTTTTTCCTTTAAAATAACTATTTCTTTCTGACAGAAAGAATGCGTATCGGCCGCGTTCATGTTCGAAACATGCTCACGCGCACATAAAACAATGTTGTTCACGGTTCGATAAAGATTGAAATAGGAACGAAGCTATAGGAATAATAAATGCAAGAATGCGAAACGTAATTGTTATTGTGCATCGGCACAGTTAACATTGGAATAAAAACTTTCCCACGAACCACGATTTTTTGATCAGAATAAAAATAAGAAGACTGCAGTCGCAACGATTCATGATTTGAAAGCAAATGCATGGAACACGTTCGAACATGAACGTCTCTTAAAACGCGCGGGGAATGAATTTCGTTTCGAAATAAAAAGTGTCTGTCGCGTGATTCCATTCTTCCTCCATGGTATATACAGACTAGATAATACAAGAAGGAAAGCCGCCTGTATACGTATTACAGAAGCTTTCATATTTGTTTTTCTTATTTTCATTAATTACTTTTGTTTCGTTTTGCGGTTCTGAGGAACTTTTTTTGTACAATTGCATGTATGCCATTTTCTTTAAAAATCTTTTTATGTGTGTCTTTGTATGTATATATATACGTGCACGTGTCCCACGTGTAACGAGTGAGCACGTCTTCAACGATATAATAATACTTTCGGCAACTCCGATCGTCCAGATTCTTTCTTTCTTTCTTTCTCTCTCTCTCTCTCTCTCTCACACTCTCTCTCGCGCTCTATTAACAAATTCGAAGATTCTCAGTTTTATAAATAAATAACAACTATATGAAACAATACGTTCAGGTTCTCTAAAATAATATAAATTTACAGGTCTACAGTCTAAGGTTCCCGATCAACTTCTTGCTTTCTCGCATTCGCTCTCCCTTTCATTCCCGAGTTGTTCACGCTCGATTCGCTCTTTGTAGAATTATATGCTTCTGCATTCTCTCCTCTTCCTCAGTCACGATCTCCACAATCAAATAAAGTGAGAATTAAGATACTGATCAATTTCTCTTTACTCTGATACGGATCAACAGGCAACGAGTTTTAGAAACACTCTGCTTTGTTGCGAAGAGACGAAGTCTGCGATTTAAAAATCGAATTAACCAAAATTGCAGACCCTGTCTCTGCCGATCAATCGATGCAATTAAAACAGAAGATAATAATAACACTTATGTTTTCTCTTTCTTCCTTCGATATAATCTAGGATGAGTTCCGGAGAGGAATATCGATGTCAACTGCCACGTACATTTGTAGTCTGTTAAATACAAAAACGGCAGCGAACACACAATAATTTCCGCGTTTCCGAAGCGCAGCCTGAGAATTCGTTTCAATTTATTATATCGTTTATCATATTTTTTTTTCATCATCGAAAGACACGGTAAAGCCAAAAGGAGTCAGTCTTCGGTCGACTGACCGCGCTATACAGTATTTCTGGAACGTGCTCAGATACTACAGCAGAATGTAAAATGCTTGATTTTTGTTTTATTTTTTTTTCTTTAGGCACGTACTTAGAATTTGTTTCGCCCGTCTTCCCACTTTTTACGTTCTATGCATTCAGGCACAGCCAGATATAGACGCGTTCTTCCTTGTCTCTCTTATCACACTCGTACTACGCGTAAAGCGATACAATTTCTATTCGTGTACGGTGCTCGGTTCCATATCTTCTTTTTATTATCATTATCAATAATCCAGTTTCGCGTTTTCCAATGGAGCATCACACGTTGTCTTGTATAGTCTCTGCTTGTGCTCCAGATCGATTTTAGACGCACTGATACAAATTACGTTACACTGAAACTCTCACCAGGTATCCTAAATAAAGAACTATCCGTTTACTCGGCGTAACTCGCAGTAAGTTAAAAATTGATAAAAAAAAAATTGGAACAGGAGGAGAAGATAAGACGAATAAAAATGAATATCGTGCGAATAAAACTACGTGCAGTGGTCGTTTTTCTTTGTTCTGTTTTTTTGTTGTGTAATAATATTTATCGTCAAAGTCGTTTGTGAAATTTGTAAGATAAATCCTGTCTTATATCTATGATTTATAAACAATTTGTAAACTTTCTAGATGCGTTCACGAGAAAAGAAAGAGAGGGCAGAAGGACGAGTGAAAGAGGAGAAGATCGGCCAAGTAAATGGATAACCAACCAGTCTGTGTGGTAGCACCATTCATATGTTCTACGTAGGAGTCGGAGAGGGTACCTATTTACGTATTATCCGAAGTTAGTTCACAGAATTGCCTTTGTTCTTCTTCGCATGGCCTCCTGGAGGTAGTCTCCGATTCTTTCACATCTTCTTCATCCCCTGCCGCATTATTTGAACGATTGTCTTCGAACGATTGAGTATTTGAATCGTCAGCTGTCCTGCCTTCTTCTGACTTATTTACCTCCGATGTTTCTTCTTTATTAACTTCCGTCGTCCTCTCGGCAAGTTTGATCGTTTCACTCTGTGTTTTCGATCTTTTCGCGACGATCGTGCAGTCACTATTCATTTCCATAATTCGTTTTCGCGTTGTTCGACTCTCTGCGAACGACTCCGAAGTTTGCGCGTTGTCAGAGGCACCCATTAGGCTCGCATTCGACTCCACTTGACTTTCCGGTTCCATTTTATCGTTCTCCATGTTGACGTCCAAATAACACATCTTCGATGCATCCGGTGGCTGATTGTCGCTGTGGTAACCAGACGTCGTATCGTAGCACGGAGTTGCACTCGGCGCGTAAACATTTTCAAGTTGATCGTACTGACTCAACGACTCGTAGCTCTGTTGACTGATCTCTGAAAAATTTCCTTCCTTCCCCTGTTCTTTCTTGAATAGTTTCTTCTCGTACTCCTTCTGGTCTAACTTCCTCTGCACCTCGTTCTGTCGCTCTGCCTTCTTCAGCGCGTTCTCCACGGAAATGCTCGGCGTCGGGCCAGCTTTCGTGTACAAGTGAATCGGCCGTTGGAATCCCTTTGACGGATGCGGGGGAATCGATAATACTTCGCACTTGGAGAAACCGACCTCGGAAGATAAGAGATACTGCGTGAAATTATGTGGTCGAAATTCGATACTTCGATAATGTTTATATATCCGCTCCTGAAACAAGATAGCGAAATCACGTGTAATAAAGACAATAAGTTTTGCACGTTTAGTAGCGATCATTCAATGACACACACTTACCGTGAGATTTTTTTTCTTGGTGTAACTACTCCATCCTTGGGGTTCTAACAGTAGCACACCGCCCGGACGTAATTGAGCATACATGCGCTTGAAGGCTTGTTTCAAACCGGCGTCTCCGAAATTCAAGTGTATCCATTTGGTTAGCGACAAACAAAGAATCAAATCGAATTGCGGTTGCTCCGTACAGAGCAAAGAATCATCCTCGAGCACGTAATTACCCTAAAAATAAACATGTTTAAATTCTTCGGAATATAATTATTTAAATGTGTATAAAATAATAGTAACGTGTGAATTTCGATACGATACCTGTACGAACGTGACATTGTACGGAAAGCCTCTGTCACTTTTATGTTTCGTGAAACCTGGAATATCAACTGGGCCATAATTGATTGGCATAGACATTGGGAAGAAGTTTACATCCTGGTGGTCACTGCCCTCGTTACCAGCAGGGGACTGTGCACAATTTACATAGTGTTTGATATTTTTTCGAGCTATATTGATGAGTGTTCTATCAATGTCTATACCGGTTACACTGCGGGCACAGAAATCCCTCGCAACGGAAAGGGTAATGTGGCCGATGTTGCAACCAATGTCTAGCACGTCTTTCCCAATGAACAGGTGTTTACGTTGTGCAAATACTGTCAGTCTCATGTCCATTTCATGATGAGAGTTCCGGTACCCGTAATACCTGTTGTAGTTCCCGTATTGGTAACGCGCGTCTTTCTCTCGGAAATTAGGCATGGATTGTTTCTTTTTCTTATCCTGACTCGGCCGATGCTGCGGTCTAGGCTTCCACGCTCCTGGTTGTGGGATTACAGGACTGACAATCTTGTCTTTTACATCCATCTTCCTCAGCCTCTTGTCTTTAGGCTCCTCCAAACCCTTTAAACGCAATTTATTTTTGTCTTTTTGCGGGCTCTCGGACTTTGGCTCCTTAAGCTGATTCGACGAGTTTACTGGCGGTGAATTCATTGGTGCTTGCTGTTGTTCCATTTCGATGTTCTCAGTTTTATCCTCCGTATTTTGTTCGACGGGTTCTGCGATATCGCTACCATCGCACTCTTTAGTTTTGGTATCAATGGGATCGCTGGCGTCATTCCCGGAACCGGAAGACGCTCGCTTCTTTTTTCTATTCCGCCGTTTCGAACCTTTCTTCGTTGGCGATATAAGCTGCTTCTCGTATTCGTCATTGTCATTGTCATTACAATTGCTTAAGTTCAATGGATCACAGATATTTGGTGGTATTATAACTTCGATAACTTCTTTTTTGTGCTTAGGTGTTGGCAAGGGGCTAGACTTAGGTGTGACAGCGTTCATAGCTCTGTTGATCTCTTCGTCCTGCATGCTGTTTAGATTCAATGGATCACATATATTGCCACCGAGCAGAAATTTAGTCGGTGGAATAATTGCCCCCTCTTTCTTTCTACGTTTATATGGTGGGAAGAATTTATTATTGCTGGTAAAACTCTGCAAACGTTTTCTGCCGAATTTAAAATGACGACTCTCTTCGTGCTTGTGCTTCTTGTGAGAAGGGTTGAATGCCTTTCTTGACTTATCGTTCTCTTTCTTGGCGATGTGACCCACTTTGGTGGGCCGATCAACTTGTGCAGACGACATCTTGTGAAATCTACGAAACAAATAGAGCAAATCATTAACGTACGTAAAGAATATGCTTTGTGTATTTATTACCTAAGCATAATTTATCATTTCATACATATTCAGCAAATAGAAATTCTCAGAAAGAATAAAAATTCGAGGTGATATTTAAATATTATATAATGCGTTTACAGATAAGTTTTATGTAAAATTCTGAGATTTTAACTGATAATACCGAAAGAAAACGTGTACAATGTGAAAGTAAGAACGTTTTATGTATTATACAGCGAAAAGTGATCGTAGAATTTGTTCAACTAAACCTTTGTCACTATCTGGTTTCTAGTTTTACAGGCTGCATTTATCTAACACGCTCAAGCAATTATTTGTCCCGCGAACTCTTTACGATCACGTACTCGGATCGCTGCGTAAATTTATCATTCCCGCGATCACGCATGCGCACACTAAGGTTTATGCGTTCTGTAAACGGATGGCTCGCCAATGCTCACGATTTTCTTTCGGTATTTCTTGATCCAAACGTCACGCTACACAGCCAAACTTACCGTCAAACGTTCGACTCGCGGATCCAATTTCACGTCGACGTACTTTTCGGTCGCATTAAGCACAAAAAACTACGTATTTCGCGGAATATTCGGTACACCCAGTCCTGAACTGTCGTTGTGCGCCCATCAACGATGGCGAATAGCTGCTTCGTTTGCTTTGCTCAAACTCCATTTTCTATGTGGCTACCCGACCGAGCCGAAGGCAGCTTCGGCAAGTTTCGGCAACGAGACAGAATTCAGTTCGACGAAGCCGACGTTTTGAACACTGTGCGGTCATGAAAGAATTAAAAAATTGCGAGAATTCTTTGAAAAAGCACACTAAACGCGAGGTTTTTCGATTGTCATACATCTGTGTAGGCTTCGCGTACGTATACTCAGAGGTACGTATATTACTCTTACACCTCGAATTCTGATACGAATGATTTAAGCGATCAATATCGATTTGCAAGTATGTTCAAAATAGCTATTAAAATCCGATTAGTAAAACCGCTAGGGAGGTACTAGTACAAAGTGACAGCCTTATGGAACTTGGTATCACAGGAAAAAGTCGGCAATTTTTGACGTCCTCTAGAATATGTGGAAATCGAAGTAAGAAACAGATAGCACCGAGGAGGTACTATGAAACAGTGATAGCGCCCGTGTTAGCATAATCGCGCACTCCTGTGACGAGATGTGCGTGTCCCATCACGGGAGTGCGTGACTACGCTAGTGACGGGCTCTCGTGACAATATGTGCGTACTTTCTCCTCTTTATCTTTGTCCTTACTTCTCCTTTTTGTACCTTCTCTTTATTTTTTTCAACTATCTATTTTACTATTTTATTATTCTACCGTTTTTGACTTGAAACATTTGGTGATGATGAAACGTCCCGACTTGCTGGTTCGCCTAACTGAAAGATATCTCGACCGCGATGCGTTTCCTGAAGGGAAAAGGCTGCGCAATAATTAATGCTTTATGATGAATAATTAAATTAATTTCTTAATTATTTACTACGAATCTTGCCTCATTCTCGATCCGTCACGCTATCGGGATGACAACGAGAAAAACAATTTATTGTCATCTAGCAGTAGAACATGAGAAGTGCTCTTCGAGTTTTAAGGAAATTTGAAGTCGTATCCTTGAAATATGTACTCGAAATTACTTGTGTCCGGCAAGCATGTGTATGTTACAAATGGATCAGCGCCGAGCCGTCGCACCGCGTATAAATAGATGCACAATTAAGGCAATTTCAAAATCAGAATTAGTCATTTTTATCAGGGGTTCTTGAGCGCTTCTCGATTAATATGACTTTAAACGCAACGTAAGTCGAAGTAGTTTCACAGACTTGACTGATAAAAATATTACACACGAAAAATATAAGGAAATAAATTAATGAGATTAGTGCAATCAGAATTGATGTTATATGATAGATGAGTAAATAAATTACTTTCCTGCTCTTTACTAAGAATTTTAACAACGCAATTAAACTTTATCATTATTGTAGATCATATATTTTATTTATTAAATATATCTAATACATTATTTCACAAATATAACAACTTTCAGATCAATTTTTATTACATTTTGATGCATTTATTTTTTCCACAGATATACAATTTTAAATAATGTACAATAGAAAAAAGAAGACAATAAGAGTCTAATATATTTACAAAACGGTACTTATTGTACTTTTCAGCAGCAATTATTGTACTTCTCGAAGCCGGTATAACGTCGATAATTTTGGCGTCCTATATTTGTCTGTTACCTATCGCGTTAAACTCGTCGTTACGCCATTATAGCCGTTTACCGACTTCCTCAGTGCTGAATCGAGAAGAGTGGTTACCCCAGTGGGTTACCCATCGTACGTTAAGCCCCCTTAGGCCCTATTCGGCGTCCCAACGATAACACGGGCGCTACCATACCACTCTTTCGTAGGACATCCTCGGTGATTAAACCTAACCTACATTGCATTGAAAATCATATGGAGAATGTGGTTTGATGATCGTACTTTATGAGATCGAACGGACAAATCAATGAGTGGTTAGTAAAAACTTGTATAAAATATGATGCGTGTGTGTAATGCGGTAATATTTTAAATATACGCCGCTCGTTGACAGTTATATACTTTCTTACGTGCATAAAATGTATGCACCTGTATTCAAACGTGATATCATGCTTTTGAATTGCGAGCGTTGTAATTAGCATACCCATTAGTTGCTGTCCCTGTCGATTAATTAAAATCTCATTAATTGTAGGATTTAAGAAGTTAAGACATACTTGAAATAATCATCGTGATCAATTTCACATGTAGTGAAATCAATTTATATACAATCGAATGAATAGAAATCGTTCGATGTCGGTTAGAGGGATAGAATTTCCAACGTATTTTTAATTGACACATTTTATGCGTGCCTCGTTTGTTAGAGAGCCCGGCTCTGATTGGTTCCCGTTGCGTTGCAACAAAAATATTCTGGAAAACGATTTGCGGACCCCGATACAAACGCGCCGGGTTTTCTCGTGCACTCGGAATTTTTAGTTACATCCCGCGAACGCGATTTTTTTCTGATAAATTGCGTTGTTGTCGTATTTAACAAACATTTTCCGTACCGTTATTTTTCCTGTCGAAGACGATTTTGTTCATTTTTTTTCTACGTAAAGTATTATTGAAACAGACTCAGTAAACTCGAAACGAAATGCAGTCAAGAAAATTCCTGTTCGAGCAATCAGATTTAAATAATCGAACTCCGTTGTCGTCAATGAATAACTGGGATTTCGGGCGAATAGATTCAGTGTCTTCGTCGAGGAATTTATTCTCACAGGTAACAACGCGATAGTTATAGTTTTCTGAACAATCTGTCGTTAATCGTTAAGGAACATGTAAGTGACGTTGATTTATAAACAGTCTAGCTGTAGCTCGTCTAGAAAAGTACTTTTTGATGAAAGACGGTTTTCCGAAAGCTCGTATCACACTCCGCCGGTGGAAACGCCAATTCTACCGTCACCCAAAGCGCCGATAAAATTAAAAAAGCTTCCAAAGAGAGGAGATTTGAGGCCGAAAAAGTTACAGTACACTGTTGAAGAAGTGGCAGACAGTATGGACAGCCGCATACAAATCCATTCAGATCAATTAAACGCGTTATCTTTCATACAACATGCACCCGAGCCAAACAAGTCCCAGTTCTCGCAAAAGCAAACATGTCAGCTTCACCCTAAATTAAATAAGACTAAAAAACGTCACGACGAGAAAGAAAACATGGTCGTGTCAGGCGACCATAATGTCGTGCGAACATCTTCCGTACTTAGGTGTATAAATAATGATAAAAAACTGCATCCAACCAAGATTAGAAATACTGATGTTAAAGAGAAATTGACACATTACCGCGTATAACAGTGTACGTTAGCTGTTGATTTAATTAATCATAAGTATGTTACCATTAAGAGATTATAATAAGGATTGTATAATATAACTCTTATTTTATAAAGTGACACATTTATAATGAGTAAAATTTATGCAAACTTAAATACTTAAACACTCCATCTCATTATAATGGTACACTACTATTCTTCAGTACATACTTGATCTAAATGAGGAAGTATTGTTTCAGTGTGAGAAAATTTGTAAGAAACACTCACGTGGTTACAATACAGAAAGAATGTTAGTTTCTTGGTTGAGAGTTGAAGCAGAAAAAATAAAAAATGAAATACAATGTACCAAACATTTGGTATTATGAAATGAATCCTGATTTGCAAACTTATTTCTGAAATACTTCTGGCTTTCTGTGACTTCACAGATAAGTCAGCGGAATCTTGTGATTTACTCTAATAACAATTCATATAATGACAATATAGAGATAGTAATAGAAAGCTTTGCTTTTGAAATACCTTGTTCAGATCTAATAAAGAAATACTTTTTTATTTTTAATATAAAGTAGTAATATGTAAAACCAGAGCATATAATAAAAAACAATTTATATCGACTAATTTCATATTATTATGGTATAATTTATTGTTCACCGACGTTATCTGTACATTTACAACTTACAAATTATTGCAAACTTCGTTTTTAAATATTATATTTGCAAGGTCGTCCTCACGATCTTTGCCACTTCCTGTCCAGTCAATTCGTATGAAACGAAAGTATAACTTCTAAATTATATTCGTAAATCTTTCAACTACTTATAGGTTATATTTATGTACTGTGCACAAGTGTACATCGTCTTGTTTGGTACAGAAATCGATTAAATTTAGCTATCAACGGTGTATGTACCGATCGAGTATATTTAGTATTGAGTAAATGACATACTCGTAGTAGGGCAGCAGCGTATACGAACGAAACATGAAGCTATGCATGTGTAATAAATAAACGAAATTTACGTACATAATGCATTACGTATTCATTATTTTTATCGACAATCATGCATATGTATAATGTAATTAGAAGTTTTCGTTATTTGAAAAGAACCAAAGAGAAAAAAGGGAACATAAATTTTATATTCCTCGGTTAATGGTTGCATATACTTCATATGCAAATATTATCAGCAGTCCTTGCTCAAATTGAAATAGAAGCTAGTTGCTTGCTAACGCGCGTTACTTACGTGGTATCTTGTATCCTTCATGCATATTTAAATCATTTCCATTTTTTGATAAAGCGTTGCTTTCGATTTCTTTATTTCTCAACGAAATTGATTCCGACGAGTTAATTATATGAACAAATTAGCATATTATATTGAATCGTGATCTTTGCAAATGCGTAATTGAACACAGCAACCTGATGAATTGGCTCGGTGAGGTTGTAATATTGAAAGAACTCGTTAGGAGGAAACATGTATCTCCTCGTTGTCGTTGAATAACAAGTGTCATTAACGATGTATCGCGAGCTAATTAAGATCAGTTGCCAGTGCCGATTATCGACGCGGAGTATCCCTTACGAAAATAATCGGGACAGAGAATGATGAATTCCCTGTGGATCAATGACGGACAGCTGTGCAACGGTAATTAAAACGAGAATATTCAAATGCGATGACGAATAACAAAGTACAAACATGTATAAACGCATTTAACCCATTGGATTTTGACCCAGTATATATAAAAATCCAATGAATTAGACGTACCATTTTTAGTGATCGCTAAAGCATGGAAACGATATCGATTCAGAAATTATGATATCGTCTCATACATGTATTAAAAGATATCAATGGCTTTAGTCAAGTTACATTCCCACAAAATTACTACATATGCTGACAGAAATAAACATCGATATGTAATCGAATGTTCGTAGCGAAGTCAGATGGGTATCGGTATCGATTCGGTCGCGGCATGTTCCCGTTCTTCAGACATTGCAGTTTGATTAGAAACCTCGCTGTCGAACGGAAATCGAACGTATATACATACATACATAAAACTTGGTTGTAAGTCGACATGTTAATGTGGCGCAAAGTTCGGCGGGGTCGACGGGTCAGTGTGACGTCAGCGGATGCGGAGACCCTCGACGTGGTGAACTGCGACAATATTTGCGTGTGTAATAGTGTTTCTTCGAGCCGTGCACATGATTACGCCCGATATATCGGCTCTCGCCGCGATGCTTCTTGTTTGTTTCGGAATACCGCCGGAAATGGGTCGACACGAACACCGGGGAGTGGTTTGATCATTCCTCCGATTAGGTTAGTAAAATGTGTGGATACAAGTATTTATGAGAATTTTCAATTAACCTTAAAACTATCATTATACAATCTCGTTCGTCGAAAAAGTTGTTTCCATTTAATAATAGTATTTATAAAGTACGCAGCGTTAGTATCGTGTTTGTTTCTCAGATAAACTTGTTGATTTATCGTATTGCCAGAACAAGAGCAATCCAGAACCGACTGTATGCAGTTAGTTTGCAAGTTGTTGAGTACTGCACGCTATTATTTTTAAACTGTTAACAGGTAAAACATCATCGACGCTATTCTATTTCGTTTAATTACATAAAAGTCGAGAGGAAAGGTGGAATCGTAGATCGAAACGGATAGTCGAGTGGCCTGTTGGTTCTTTCGATGACCTGTGATCCATTCTCTGATCCTTCGAGCCAGTTAATACTCCCCTCGTTTCTCTCTAGAAAAGAGAGAGAAAAAGGAGCGATAACCCTAGATATCTAAGCGGGCACATACGTGCTCGTTATCGTCCTCGTAATATGTAGTCGGACGATCGTGTTGCTAACCGAGGTATAAGTTCGGGTTATCTCTCTTGTTTGTCCTTTACTACAATTTTGTTACGTTTCCTTCGCGATTCTTCGCGACAATTTTCTCGCGACAGATCGTTCGTTAATCGATGCATACGTAATCGATCATTATCGCCAATTTCTTTTTATATTTCCTCTTGCGAATGCACGAAAGAAAAAAGTCGTATAGACGTTGCCGTAAGTTGTGACGCCAGTTCGTGTTTACAACTTTAAGCACGTAAAAATTTCGATGGTGATCCAATAAAATACTGAAAGAATCGCTATGGAAAGTGACAAACAAGCTGAGCAAAAAAATGTCTGGAGTTATCTATCAGGTCTGCGCGAAGTTATTTTGAAATAATTCTTTCTCGAGGAGGAGACGGAGGAGTACATCTTGAAATAATTTCGGTGGACCCCCGTGGTTCGTCTATACATTTTTTAATGCACCCTGGGTGGCTGCGCCACTGTGACCAAGAAATAACTGGGGAATCGTTGAACCTGACACGTGGAAATGCTATTTCTTTCGCTATTCTTTAATCGAGCCCATCACCGAGATCATTTCAAGTATACTAACGTTCTTCATACATGGATCAGAATGATTGAGCGATTTGTTCTTATTGATCGTATATGCGATTCGTTTTGATACGTCGTTGAAATCAATTTCGCTGATGCGATGTCAATACAACGCGATAGTCGCGATACCGCAACGTTTCTAATCACCTTTAATTATCGTACGGGACTATTTTCTTCGGTGATAAGCATACGGGAACGGTCAAATGCGAGCTGATGACCATAAAGAAGACGTTTATCGGTCGTAAAGCCTCGTCGGTTGTATCTCGTGCAGTTTGGACCCGGGGAAGTTGTCTTGGTGGCGGTTCGTTTCGTGCCAGGACGCTTAGGAACCGTCATATGACAATGGGGGCGTAGGTACATAGTTGACAAACATGGGAGCGGCGTATGGGTCGATGGTTGAAAAAAGGGGGAAAAAGGGAAGGACGGGACGTAGCGTGAAGGATAATATACTCCGAGCCGACCTTTCCACAGGTATAGCTCGCGTTGCATGTATTTTACTCGGTTTATACCTAGGTGTGGCTTATGTGTTCCCTTGCCTTTGCGAACCATCACGCTTCCGGTATAATCGCGTAGACAAAATTAACGATGGATTAAAGCCATTTCCCTGAAGTTATGGACTGAGGGAAATTGAAATTGTTGTAAAAGTAACGTTAATCTCTAAGAGTTCGTATACTCGAAAGTGTTCGATATCAATCTAAATAATGTGAAAGCTTCTACATTCTAAATGAGACTTTAACGAGTTTGAAATGAATGCAACAGAATTCTTAAGCCGAAGGGCAGCCTTAAAGATAACCGCTTTCCTTTTTGTTTTCCCAGGTAGCATTTCTTTCTTTGAGGAGGATCAGAGGTGGTAACTTCGTCCGGTTTCGAATTCTATCATAATGCTGGGGCAACTCCGATCGAAGAAGAAAGTAAAAGACGCGAGTAACACTTCATGGAATCTTACGCTTTTGTTTCGCAATTAGCTAAACGGAAGAAGAGCGTCGTTGCTCTTTATTCCGGTGCCTAAACGCGTCTTTGGACACGTGCCCCTATAAAAATCACCTCTAAATGCGACTTTAACGAGGCGCGCACGAGGAAAAGAGGAGTACACGCGGGGAACGACCTGCGGCGAGGATTCGGGCGCGGTCAATGCCGTCTAGATGCTCGTTATTACTATCCGGACCGCTTGGTATTTTCGTCATGGCCTACTAATACACTCCGCAAATTCTCTCCCTACCACGCGGTAGCCACACCGATGACGTTGCCAAGGAAATATGCCGATCGTGTCACTGGCCGTGATGGCTAATTTCTTCGCTTTTTATTATTTGAAAACGAGCCAACCCGATGCTTTCTCTCTTTCCTTGTTATTCCTGGTTAAAAATATTCTATCGAACATGGTGCAGCAATTTATTACATCACGAGTAGACCGAAGATTTGATGCACTTATACAGAAATTGAAATGCTGCATATTGAGAAATGTTTTATTTTGCATAAAATTCCGCAGTCTCATGTGACTTGTAATTCTTCTGGACATTCATAAATGAAATATTGCTGATTTACGAATTTTACAATCAACACCTTTTGTTGGCTATTCTGTCAAGGTGTCTTTCCTTATTGTTACTGCAATGTTTTCTTCTCTCCACGAAGATCCCAAGTTTCTAGCTTGGTGTAACGAGGAAAGGAACATGCTAATGCATTTAGGAAATGATCGTAGATAAATATTCAAGGAGTTCGGCTTTCCATGTATTCATGACCATCATCTCCAGGAAAAAAGAATGTATCTACATTTGAATAGAGGAATGATTTGTGGGTCAGGAAGCTTTTTAGTGCATCGTTCTATAAGAATGTACTCTGACCATCGTCCTTTGGTCAGGGAAATCGCATATAACGTTCCACGATAAGGTGTGGTCGTATATCCGGAACCAGCGGTCGGAAACAGTCCTTCCCTCGTTACGAAATATCTACGATGATTCCATGAGAGTGTTC